TCGATATTCGAAGACGTTGATCGAGTTTCGGTGATGCTGATTTCATAGTGCGGAATGGGAGGTTATAGCATGTATTTTCTTCCAATGGAGTTGTAGGATATCGTGAATGTCTCAGGGTCTGTGAGATAGGGCTGAGACGCTTCTGCCAGCCTCTTCAGCTTGCCTTTGGCGGGTTCGACCGTCCCTTCTAGAAACCCTTATTTTCGCCCTTGCCAGGACTTTTTCAGTTAGCATCGCTCACTCTAGGCCAACGGATCCTGGTCAGAGCAGACTGCAGGAGATTCCACTAGGTCAATGGTCACCTCAAGTGGAAGCCGACATACTGGGATTTCCTCCTGTGTTACACCACCTAGGGACGCCAAAAAGAAGGGAGAATGAGGTTTAGCCCCGTGGGCTGATAGGGCATACCTTCCCCATTCCAGGGACTCCATGACATCGCGCCTGCAGTGACCAACACTGCTCTCCATGCCACCAAGCAGTCTGTGATATGAGTTTTATAGGATTTCTGAAGAGGACTTCACCATGTCATAATAGCCAGGTTTTTGTTAGGGATTCAATTCCTCAAATGTTAACTCGAAATAATCATCACCACTTTTTTTATTCCTCAAGTGCCCACACTCTTCCATAGTACTATGAGGCAGTAGTTTAGATTGCGCACTTTCATATAATTTCAGTATACCAACCCATTTTATTGGTGGATAATGATGATTTCATCCATTTCGCTTTCATTATATGTTATGCTACTGTGACCATTCAATATATGACATAACTTTGGTGATACTAGGCTGTCCTCTGCAGCTATCTTGGAGCTTCTTCTACTTTTTGGCAAATAAATAGGTTTCGAATTTTTAATGGTTTTATTCATCCTTTCAGGTGTTTTAGCAATCCAGGTGAATAATTGTAATGTTAATTTCAGAAGGCCCTTTCATTCAAACTCCTGAAACTTCAGTGATATTCTCAATTTCTTTATTAAACATGTACATTTTGAGAAAATTGAGTGGCGCCCCCAATACTTGTATTTTCCAGTTGAACACTTCCAAACTCACTTATCTGCTCTCTGATGGAAAACTGCCGTTAGCACACATGTAACTTATTTTCTTTGATACACTATTCGGGAGTTGAGAAAAGTAGGCTACAATACATACAACGTTGATTCTTCGAAAAAAAATTCCAACTTCCAATTCCATTTAATTGTTTGTCGAAAAAATGCATTATTTTGAAAGAAAATTCATAACACGATTAACAAA